TGCTGCTGTTTGGTTCAGACAAGCTCAGGCACGTCTTGTCTGGCTATATTGGTAAATATTCCAATAGTCTGTGCTCTTTGGAGAACAATCACAGAATGATTCAGGCTGTAAAAGACCTCCAAGATCATCAAATCCAACCTTCCACTGATTACCTCAAGCCCATGAAGCCACTGTCCCAAATGCCACATGTGCTCATTTTTGGAACACTTCCAGGGATGGTGACTCCACAGCCACTCCAGAGAGTGGCTGCTCCAGTGCTTAACCAAAGCAAAGGGATTGCTTGGCAAAGGGACTGTGAAACACTGGATCAAGGAGCAGCTGGTGCTGGGCACTTCCCAAACCCTGACTCCAGCACTCAGCCTGGTAGCAAAGCTCTGTTTCATGACTGCAGAGCACCTGGTGTGATTTGGGGCTGAAAGGGCAGCACTGTCACCCCCAGGATGGTGAGCCAAGATTTCCACACAAAATCAATGTGGTGCTTAGGTCTGATTGCCAGTATCCAAACAAATTGGAAAGCTGCTCCCACCAGAGAGGCAGGAGGAGAAAATCCAGAGCTGAAGTGTCTCTGCAAAATACCAAACCTCAAAACTCCTCCACGGAACCAAAACCCAGCAGCTCCTCCATGTGCTTGGGAGTGGCACAGGGAGCACCCCCTATGCTGGCAGGAGCACTGGGCAGCCATGGAGCAGCACAGGGATGTGCCCCTTTAATTAGGAACATTAATTGACATGTCACCCTCAGTGCCCAAAGCCTGAGGGCCATGGCAGGGAGGAGCAGGGTCATGTCCCTCCGGGCTGTGGGCTGCAGTGTTGCAGACACATTATATGAAAAATCCTTTCCTTAGGATTTTTCATCCTGAGAAGCTGGGAGGCCTCAGGAACAAAACGCAAACAATGATTATCTGCTGCTGTGGAATGCAACAGGTGCATCTGTGATTGGCCTCATGTAGTTGTTTCTAATTAATGGCCAATCACGAGAGTCTGAGCTACAAACCTTTGTTATCATTCTTTTTCTATTCTGAGTTAGCCTTCTGATGAAATCCTTTCTTCTATTCTTTTAGTATAGTTTTAATGTAATATATATCATAAAATCATAAATCATCCTTCTGAAACATGGAGTCAGATCCTCATCTCTTCCCTCATCCCAAGACCCCTGTGAACACGGTCACACTGCAGGGCTGGCACAGAGCAGGACCAGCAATCCTGCCCCACCCCTGGCAGTGCCCAAGGCCAGGTCAGACAGGGCTTGCAGCAGCCTGGAGTAGTGGGAGGTGTCCCTGCCCATGGCAGGGGCTGATATGAGATTACCTTTAAGGCCTTTTCCAACTCAAACCATGCCATCATTCCAGGATTTCATGAAACCTGCTCCTCAAGGCCAGCTCAGGACATACTAACTCAAAGATTTAACTTCAGGGGATTATAAAACTTGGAAGAAAGCTGCCATCAGCAGGCTGGCCAGTGTGCCAGTGTGCAGGGACACACATCTCCACCTGAACCAGCCATGTGAGCTGGTGGCACTCTTGGAGTCTGGCTGAAGACCCCATTCCCTACACTGGTGTCCCACAGCTCTCAGACCCAGCATTTTCCATCCTGGATCAGTCCCTCAAGCCCAGCACAGGGCAGGCTCCTCCTGCAGCAGGGCTCACCCCCAGCTTGGCTCAGTGCATTCCAGCAGTCCCTCCTGCACACCCACACAGAGCACTCCCCATTCCCATGGAATGCTATTGGCAAACACTGGGCATTTCTGATAACTAATAAAATCCCATTTTCCCAGGAAGCTGGCAATCAGAATTATGCCCTGCATGAGTAATGTCTGGCCTGAAGAAGTCAGTTTGTTGTCAGCAGCTGTTGTTTTTGATCAGCCCTGACTGTTTTCTGTCATTGATCATGCTGGCCAGGAGGCAATGTGGGACACAGCACAAGCACCAGGCATCTGCTGCTCCAGGTAAACATGACAGCACAGAGGCTTTTCTGGGAGCAGGCAAAAGCAGCCTGTCCTGCAATCCTTCAGGCTCTCAAAGCCCCTTAAAAAACACTGAACAAAATACTTATGGAATAGGATTTTCTTTAAGGCCAAACCTTATCAGCAGGGATCCAGTGTGTCCAGGGCCATAGGAATGGATCCCGTGGACTGCGGATTAGATAAAATATTCCTGGCTCTCCTTCCTGGCTCTGTGTGAGATCTTGTATTAGAAGGACAAAGGGAGCATGGGAACAAGGGGTACAGGTCTGCTGGCCCTCACATGGGACATGGCCACACCAGGGGTGACCTTACACAGGGCTCTGGGCATATCTGAGTCCTGCATGACTGCCAGACTCCCACAAAACCAACCTGGGATTAGTGAGGACACTGCTGCCTTGGGGGAAGCACCAGCTCCTCTCCTACCCCTCAGAACCAGCCAGGTCCTCTGCACCAGTGCAAACCAAACCCCAGACTGATGTCCAAGACCACCTCAGGCAAATCCAAGGTGCCAGGGTGACCTGCCCCCTGTCTCAAGATGCTGCCATCCTCTGGGACTCCCTCAGTCCCCTGGGGCCCAGTCTTGGAATTCTGGGTTGTCTGAGTGCTCCAGCACAACCCTGACCATCAGTGGGCAGACAGCCACCTTGTTCTCACACCTCAGAGACTGAATGACTCCTCCAATAGTGGAAACTGAAGGTGACATCCCATCATGTCCCTGCAGCACATCCCACAGCAGCACCTCCTCACCACCCAGACCTGAACAGAACCTCTGGCCAAGCTGGGGCTTGCCCAGGCTCCAAGCCCTGCCAGAGGTGAGGCACAGGACTCACTCAGAGCCCACCAGCTGCTCCTGGCCCCATTCCCTCAATCCCATTCTGGGAATGAGGCACAAGGGGACAAAAAGGGCGAACAAAAGCATCAGAAGGGTACAGCAGGGAGGGAAGGTGATGCTCATCCCTGGGAGGATTTCCAGCCTGGGACAGGAGTGCTCCAGGCAGAGCCAGAGCTCCATGCCAGGCTCTTTAGTTTGGTTTAGTTTAGTTCAGTTTAGTTTAGTTTAGTTCAGTTAGTCACCACTCACTCTTTAGTTTGGAGCGCACTTTGTTCGCCGTCTTCTTGATGTCAGACATCAGCTCCTCCAGCTCCTCTTTCGTTTCTGGGGAGAGAGCAAAGAGCAAACATGGGTGTGCTGCAGACATCACTGAAACCTGCTGCCCTGCAGAGTGTAGAGACCAGAGCTGGGAGCCCTTCAACCCCCTGTCCTGGTTTGAAAAGGAAGTAAGTTTTTTGGGAGCTTGTGGTCAAACCAATCAGTGCTGAAATCTGAATATTGGCACCTGGTGTGGCCACTGAGGACATGGATACACCTCTGAGAACACAGGGGGTTAAAAGCAGAGAACTCCAGAACTCCCCAAACTGGAAGGATTTCCAACCCCTGACTAAAAACACTCCCAATTCCCAGACTGGGAACCAACTCCCACAACCTAGACTGGGAGCACTCCCACATCCAGACTGGGAAAATTTCCACCCCCAGACTGGGAGCACTTGCATCCCCAGAATGGGAACACTCCCACAATCCAGTCTGGGAGCACTCCCCCAATCCAGACTGGGAACCCTCCCACATTCAGACTGGGAGCATTCCCACAATCCAGACTTGGAAAATTTCCACCCCAGACTGGGAACACTCCCACAGTCCAGACTGGGAGCACTCCCACCACCCCATGCTCTCCTCACACTCCTGAGGCCTCCAGCTGCTTCCAGCTCTAGAGCCCCAACACAAGTGTTAAATTTAACAAGAATACAAGAATGAGGTCAGGTTAGACATGGGGAGGAAATGTCAGACCATGAGGGTGGGCAGGCCCTGGCACAGGTGCCCAGAGCAGCTGTGGCTGCCCCTGGATCCCTGGCAGTGCCCAAGGCGAGGCTGGATGGGGTTTGGAGCAGCCTGGGACAGTGGAAGGTGTCCCTGCCATGGCAGGGGCTGGAACCTTTCAAATTCCCTTCAATCCCTGTGACTCTGTGATCACATCCGGGTTCCTCCCTCAGAAACCAGCATGCCCTGAAAGCAGCCAGGATTTGCAGGTGTGCCCCTCAGCAATCTGTGCTTCAGGAACTGCCAGAGGCCCTGGAGCAGCAAACCCAGATCAGTGGGACCCACCTGGGGTCTGCCAGTGCAGCCCTCCCTGCTGCCACCCCAACACTCCCTCTTGATTTTGATGAGAACAAGACTTAATTAAATAAAACTTAGTTTAATAGAGCTGAGGCATATTGACTGACTCATGTCAATGGTTCTGATGCCAGCTGCCAGTCACAGGCATAATTAGAAAATCCTGGTGATGGGAATGTTCTGGGGGAAGGTCCTATCATTCTGGCAGCTATAAACATCCCCATCCCTGAGCTACAAGCTTCAGCACTATTGGGAAGAGGAGAGAAGGAACACATCTGTGAAGTCCTTCACCCCAGGATATTTGCTGGAGAAGGGCACAAATGCAGTGGCAGGAATAGGACATCTTCAGTTTAAGTTCTCATTTAAGTGACTAATTTTTTTTCCCATTTGTAAAAAAAAACTTATAATAATAAGAAAATATAATAAAAACTTATAATAATAAAGAAAATAATAAATGGTAATGTGAAGGAATTACTTGAAAGAATTTATAGGAAATATAAAAATTTCCAATAACAGGAAAGTAATAAAAATAAGAAACTGTTATAATAAGAAATTAAAAACTGTAGTAATAAGGAATTTAAAATTATTTCTTAATAAAGAAATAAACCAGCCTGGGCTGAGTAACTCCCTGCAGCCATCCAGGCTGGGTAAGCAGACAAGGACCAGGAGTAGAGAAGACCACAGGAGACAACAGGAGACAAGAGGCCATGGCGACAGGGATGGGCTGGGAGCTGGGATTGTTCACCTGGAAAGAGGAAAACCAAAGGGGTCCCTACTGCTGTGTGAGACCACCCTGCAGGAGGGTGGAGACACCTGGGCCAGGTGTCCTGCTGGTCCCTGCAGGTGACATTCAGCTTCCTACTGAAGCCTGGGGTGCACAGGAAGAGGACAAGCAGTGCTGGGGCAAGCCAAATGCAGATTAGATATTGAGAAGAAAAGCATCCATGATGGTGGGCAAATAGGAGATGCAGAGAGGCTGAGGGATGTCTGTGGGATGTCTGTGGATGTCTGTCCTTATGGATGTTCTGCACAAGGCTGGGTGAAGGCTGGAGGGGACTGGCCAGGAGCCTCCAAGGTTTTTCCCACCCATATCCACCTTCAATTCTACTGAACTATTTCTCCTAACTCACTGCCATGTGCTTTCCCTTCTCCCTGTCAACTCAGGCTGAGGGATCTCCCCCTCTGTTCTGCTCTGAGACCTCACCTGCAGACCTGCTGCCAGCTCTGGAGTCCCCAGCCCAGGAAGGATGTGGAGCTACTGGAGCAAGTGCAGAGGAGGCCACAGAGATGCTCTGAGGGCTGGAGCCCCCTCTGGAGCCAGGCTGGGAGAGCTGGGGGTGCTCAGCCTGGAGAAGAGCTCAGATCCCCTTGCAGAGCCTGAAGGGGCTCCAGGAGAGCTGGAGAGGGACTGGGGACAAGGGATGGAGGGACAGGACACAGGGAATGGCTCCCACTGCCAGAGGACATGGATAGATGGGATATTGGAAAGAGATTTCTCCCCGTGAGGGTGGTGGGGCCCTGGCACAGGGTGCCCAGAGCAGCTGTGGCTGCCCCTGGATCCCTGGAGTGTCCAAGGCCAGGCTGGACAGGGTTTGACCAACCTGAGATAGTGGAAGGTGTCCCTGCCCATGGCAGGAGGATGAGATATGAGATACGAGATATGAGATGGGATGAGATATGAGATGGTCTTTAAGGTCCATTATGAAGCTGCCACTGAGGACACACAGGACAAGTGCAGAGCACAGCCTGTGCTGGCCACTCAGGGACCCAGCAAGGGCCACAGGACCCCACTGGTGGAAGGAGAGGACAGAGAAGAGGCCTGGATGCCTTCCCTCCAAGCATTTCCAACTGAGCAGCACAAAGAACACTCCTTCTGGCTGGATTTGAGTCACAGGCCGTGTGAGGATTACTTGGCGGCCTGGCAGGCACAGGCTGCCCAGACAATTATTTTCACATGCACAGTGTCTGTTTAAGTGACTCACTGAGATTATTTAACCATTCCCAGCCAGGCACACACAGCCACGGGAAGCTGGAGTACCACAACACTGCTGTGTCAGGGCCAGCATCCCTTCATGCCAGAGGGGCACTGAGGGGGCACAGGGGATGTTCCAGAGCAGGAGCCAAGCTCCCCACATCTCATGGGATGTCCTCTCCATTCCCACTGGCACTGAGCACAGCGAGAGCAGAGATGTCCATGCCCATGGCCACATGTCCCCAGTCTCTGCTGGGAGAGGGAAGGAGTCTTTGGTCCAAGGTCAAGTCTTACAGTCCTGAGCAGCCCCAGGGCCTGCCTGAGAGGGAGCCCAGGCAGTGCAGGGAGCAGGCAGGGGTGCAGGCAGGGCACAAACTCCTCCTCCTCCCTCTGCCAACAGCTGATGAGGCCCCTGTCTGACAAAGAGCAGACAATCAGCCCAGGCTGGTGACACTGCAGGCAGGAGGGAGCAGGAAGGCAGGAGCAGGCAGGAATAGGCAGGAGCAGGCAGGACCAGGCAGGAATAGGCAGGAGAAGGCAGGAATATGCAAGAATAGGCAGGAGAAGGCAGGAGCAGACAGGAATATGCAGGAGAAGGCAGGAGCAGGCAGGAACAGGCAGGAACAGGCAGGAGCAGGCAGGAATAGGCAGGAATAAGCAGGAGCAGGCAGGAATAGGCAGGAGCAGGCAGGAATAGGCAGGAGCAGGCAGTCAGGAAGGAGCAGACAGGATCAAGAGCAAGCAGGCAGGAATAGGCAGAAGCAAAGGGAGGAACAGGCACACAGGAAAGAGCAGGCAGGAGCAGGTAGACAGGAGCAGGTAGACAGGAGCAGGCAGGAGAGCAGGCAGGTGCTGGCAGGCACAGACCTCCACCCTTCACAGGTACTGTCACTATCTCTGGACAGCATGGTCACAGTGACTTTGCTTACCAGGTGCTCAGCCTCTGACTCTTTGCTGGGACTAAGAAACTTCACCTCAGCAACCTTCAAGTCTTTACTGACAATAACCAACAAACATCACTGAGAAAAGTGCAATCCCAAGCTAATTCCCAGCTGAGTTACCTGGCAAAGCTGGAAGGATCTTTTTGGCAAAGATTTAGCTCTTCCAATAAAAATTGAAAGAAGATCCTACGAACAGTTCCTTGAAGAAAATTTTAAACAAATAAAGCTTTCTTGTTTATCTAGGAACTTTCATTTATGAAATGTTGGGTATCTTTTAAAGGTGAATGCAAAGAGGAAGCACAGAGCTAAAAGTCCCACAAGGATCTGGCGTCTGGGAGCAAATAATAAGGAATCCTTCCTAGGAACTGTAGAGATTTGGCAAAACCATCTTCCATAGTGTTTCATGGCATTAAAGCAATGCAAATGAAATCTGTTTTAAAAGGTACCAGAGATGAGATTGACTAGAAAGATTCTGCACTTGAGTCAGAACAATCTCCAGGGCCAGCACAGACTGGGGAATGGATGGATGGATGGATGGATGGATGGATGGATGGATGATGGATGGATGGATGGATGACGGATGGATAGATGAGAGATGGATGGATGATGGATGGATGGATGGATGGATGGATGGATGGATGGATGGATGGATGGATGATGGATGGATGGATGGGTGGATGGATGGATGGATGGATGGATGGATGGATGAGAGATGGATGGATGATGGATGGATGGATGGATGGATGGAT